ATATATTTTATATCTCTAACACTATCTCTTTTAGTTCCTTCAGTACTTTGGTCACTCTGTTTTTGAAATCTTGATCTAATAGGCCATCAATGTCTATTTCATTGATCATTCTTTCAGGGGATTTCTCTTGATCTTTTAATTGGGAGTGGTTCCTTTGTGTCTTCATATTGCTCATATCTCTCTGGCACTGTGGCTTATGGAATATCAGTTATTTATTGTGGTCCTTAAGGAGTTTATTTATTTATCTATCTAAAGCCTATACAGGAATAAAACTTTAAAAAAAGAGAGAGAATTTTAAAGGAAGAGAGGAGAAAAAAGTTTTGAAAACAGTGTGTGATCAATAGTAGAAGAGCAAGTTGAAGCAGAATAGCAATTGAGTTGAGATGTCTTTTAAAAACTTTTATAAAGGAGAAAAGATCAAAAAACAATATTTGAAACCAGTGTATAACCAATAATAGGAGATCAAAAACAAGAGAAATAAAAATGAAATGAGGTGGATTTTTAAAAATAATAATAATAAAAGTATTTTAAAAGAAAAATTTAAAAGGGATTAAAACTGTAGACATATACAATTGTTTAAAAAGTAAAGATTAAAAAGGTAATAGAAAATAGAACAGATAAAAAAAGATTAAAAAAAAAAAGGATGTGTTCTCCTGGAGACTGTGTGCTCTTAACGATTTTATCGAGAGGTCTTTCTGTCTTCACCTCGTTTTGTGAACTCAGCTTGCTGCTTCCAGAGGCCCTCCCTTGGCACCCTCGTCTGTGCTGCTCCCAGTGCCTGTCAGCAAACAGATCACACTCCCTCCCAACCCTGGGTCAGGTGCTGCTCTCCTTCGTGGTGGGCGGGCGGGTGGGTCACTCCCCCTCCTGATGCCACAGTCGATGCTGTGCTTGGATGAGGTAGGCAGGTGGGCGGATCACGCCCCCTCCCAGCACCTTGGTCAGTTGTTGCACTTCTGTCAGGAAGGCGGGTGGCCACCCGCCCTCTCCCAGTGCAGGTTGCTCTGCTGCTCTATGCAGCTGCCTGCTCCAGCTCAGATCGGCACTCCTTAGGTGGGCTTGGCGAAGAGTGTAGGACCACCCCACCCCTGCTCAGTGCCAAACCTCAGCTCCTTGTTTGTTTTGGTGGCGCAAGTTCTCTTAGGTACCAGGGCAGAAAGATCCTATTTGCCTCTGGCTGTAAACAAGTCTCAGTCCTGCCTAGGAGGTTGGGAAGCCCCGAGGTGCAGATTCAGATCTCGGCCCCACCCCCCGCCCAGGCACTGTGCACAGGAGGATATGACAGCTATGGCTGCACCTCGCCTCTCTTCTCCAGATAAGCGCCCTGGGTCTGAGGAGACATTTTTATTTCTCTTGGTAATGGTGCCCCGGGTCTGAGGAGACAAAGGCTACAGTGCCCCTCCCCTCAGGGCACACAAGCAGTGTTGCTTTGCTTTTTTTTTTTTTTTGTAATTTATGGGAGCCCAGGTTGTTCTGCTCTGTGTCCCCTCCCAGCCACGGCGCGCAGCACCCTGCAGTCCCCCGGGGCTGCCTCAGTGCAGATGCCCCAGTCCTCTGCCTGGCTCCAGCAGCCTATCCCATCCCCCAGGTGCCAGCTTGTGCCTTGGGCTGGGTGTTGCAGGAACCCTCTGTGCCCGTTTAACTTAGTTCTGTTGGTCAAGGGCCGCTCCATACAGATCTGAGCCTTGGAGGCTCCCCCTCTGTCCCACTGGCCTCTCCGTTGGAGAGGGGGAGACCCAGCAAACAAGCACTATTCCTCCTTTGCCTCTCCCTCCTCACAGGACCAGTCCTGCACTGTTTTGCTTTTTCTTCTTTCTTTTTTCCTTTTCTCCTACCAGATTCATGATGTCTTTGTCTTTGAAGAGGACAGTGTTCTTTTGGAGTTCAGCAGGTGCTCTGGTTGGCTGGGTGGGTCTGTGGATGTGAGCTTTGGTGTATTTGTGGGAGAGGATGAGCTGCGAGCGTCCTTCTCCTCCGCCATCTTGGCCCCAAGTCCCTGGGACATTTCTATTTGACAAAATGACATATAGTTTTTGAAAATAATGTTAGTTGTAGAAGCTGTTGCTTTGGCTTCTTATGTTGGCAGAAACAGATCGCCTGATTTCTGTGTTGGCAATCTATATTGTCTTCTTTATTATATGCTGAATAAAAGGGGATTGCTAAGCTGCAAAAAATTCAAATACATTTCTTTCTACACTGATAAATTCTTTCATGCTCTCCAGAGTTGGGAAATATGGTGTCGCCTTTTCTACATTTTCAAACCTGATGGCTGGTTTTCCATGTTGCGTAAATATACATGACGGTTTATAACATTCCTGGTATATACGTGTATTGCATATTTTACAGGTTCCATAGCTCATTTCACATTCACTTTACAACAATGCTGCAAAATCAATAGGGCAGACATCATTCGAATTACTTATAGACAGTGAGGCTTGGAAAATTTCAATAGGTTTTCTGTAGTCACAAAGCTAGGACGTGATGGAGCCAGGATCAGAACTTAAGTTTTCAGATTTAAGTCCAGGAATCTCTCCCCTAATGCAAGTGTAGAGTATTATTGCTTTTGGCCAAAGGGCAGTGTGATATGATGGAAATGGTATATTTGCAACGTAGACTCTGGTGGTGCTTAGACAGCACTTTACATTTCTCGTTGTCATTGCTGTTGACCTCTTGATAGAAGGAAATTTCCCTGCTATTCTTTCCTTTGATTTCTTTAATAATTAATTTTATTTTCCAACAAGAATTTAAGATATGACCTAAATACTATAATTAACACATTGAGAGGATATATCAGCCTTGGCCCACTTTGTGTTCCTTTTCTAGTGTGGATACTCATAAGTGTAATTTAATGTTACTTTCAAAACAGTAAATTTCTGTTAATGAATTGATGTGGTTGTACTCAGTCGAAGACTAGGTCATCTCCTAAAAGTTATCTCTTTGCACCAATCATTGCAATGTTAGCAGTAAGAAAAGAGATTTGATTTCTGCTGTCATCTTTTTCTGTAAACACATAACTCTCGATGTCTTAATCATATGGGCCCTTTACAGCTAAGTGGCAGAGTATATAGTCAAAACAGTATGTTTCCACTTCTCAGAACCTGGGAGAAACTCAAGAAATGCCTTTTTGTCCTCAGTGCTTTTGCGGTTTTAAGCCTACTGGGTGTAAAGTAGTGAATCATGTCCTTTGGGTTTTTAAAAAGTTATAGATATGATAATGCAAATTTGATTTTTCTCCACAGAGCCCCATGTATTAGCCGATTTGAACATATTTTGTTATTTATAACATACATGATTAGGAAAAGAGAAAAAAGGAAAGTCAGTATTCAGAAAAGAAACTGTGTTAACTTTAATTGAAGCACTTATAATTGTACCCAGAAACATCTGGGAAGTGTTGGAACCTAGCAATGTTCTCAAGAAATCTCAAGCTATTGAATATGTAAAATTTAAGACGCACATTTCACACCAGTTCCCTATGTCTGTGTGTTGAAAATGAAAATGTGTCGGGTGTGAACCCCCCTAGGAAGCTTGGGAAGGTTCATCTTCCTTTGTCCTCTCAGGTGGCCATGTTTGTGCTACATCTGGGCAGCGCCACATTCCTGCTTACCGAGCCTGTGATCAGTGCGATGACAACAGGGGCTGCCACCCACGTCGTGACTTCGCAAGTCAAATACCTCTTGGGAATGAAAATTCCATATATATCTGGACCACTTGGATTCTTTTATGTGAGTTTTACACCTGTCTTTGTTACTATATTTTGGACGTGTCTGTGTGTTTCACAAAGTACAATTTGATTAATTACAATACTAAGATTTTTCTATATTAAGACAACTTGGGCTTAAATAAAATATTTTAGGATATTTGAATGTGATTGAGGGTGTGAAGCTAGTTTAATGAGTAAAACCTACTAATTTGGGGAGCAGTCCTTTATAATAAACAGTAAAGTATGGTGTAATTTGAGCACATGGTTAGAAAAAATATAACTTGAATTTTTTTTGTGTGACCAGATATGTTGCTAACTTCTAATGGAAGCCTTCTACCAGGATTGTGGCCCAGTTTAGCAACAGTAGACTCTAACATGTGCTTCCAGTTTTATGAACCCTGGTATGGATCAAATCAGAGGTCTAGTAAAAATTGGGGGCTAGCGCCCCAATAACAGTTATTAAAAGTCACTTGAACCTGAGAGAGAAAAACGTGTGTCCAGTTTCAACATATTATCCTAATAATACTTCATTGTTCTTGGTCTGTTTTTGAAGCTGACCTAAAATCTGTGACTGCTCAGGGAATCATGTCTTATAAGAAAATCAATGTCTTGTTAATGAAGTTGAGGGCAACCACACTTCATTTTTTAAAATTTTATGTTGTAGAGGAGGAAAAGAATCTTTTCCTTCTACCCTTGAGGCCCCTGTAACAAAAGACCGATTAACAAAGAAAAAGAAACAAGTTTATTAGCATATATATTTTGTATACACATGGGAGAAATTCAGGGATTAGTAACTCATAGTAACTCAAAAGATGTGGCAAGAATTTGGACGTAAGTTCTATTTTCAGTTAAAACAAAGGAATAGGAGTGTGGGGAAGCAAGTTATGAGAAGGTGACCATAAAAATTACAGTAAATATAGGGAAGATTTATTATGCAGATTTAGGTTGGTTCCTTCTCCAACGGTAATTTTTCGATGATTTAGATTTTGGGATTTTGTGTAAATCTCTTGTGATTTAGAGTCATCTTTCTCTTTCTGGTACTGGGAGGAAGACACCCTTGCAAATAGAGTCTTCCTTTATAAATGTAAATTTCCCTTACTAAAGGGTAATATACTGTTTTCAGAGCTTCTCTGTGTCTGCTTTTTCTCAAAATAATAAGCTAAAAGTATTTCTTGTACCAAAGAGGCACATTTTGGAGTAGCATATTCTGGTCTCCTACAATGTAATGCTGTATATTAAATAACACTGATGTTTTATAATGAGAGTATTCCCATTCTTAATTTTCTTGCTCTAAATCAAGGAATGGCTGAACAGTAGCTCAACATACGGAAGTTCAATAACTTATTTATCTAATTCCTGTTATTGAGGTGGTCTGTGGTGTTTCACCACTATATATACACACTCGATGAGGATTTGTTTTATTTGCATTACCGGATGATTTCATTAAGGTAAATTTCTAGTTATGGGGACTTTGGATCAAATGTGTATAACATTTTTGCCAAATTTCAGTCTTAAAAGTTGTACCAGTTAATATTTAAGGTCATCATCACCAAGTCTGATTATGACTATTTTTAAAATGTGCCATTTTAATATGTGAACAATGGTATCACTTATCTGTTTAAATGTGTGTTTCTCTGTTTAGGTAGTAAGGCAGTTAATAAAGACAGTGATGGGCAGAACAGAGTTGGAAGGTGGTTCTGAATTTTTGTTATTTAGGCAATATCCTGCTCAGCGATTCATTCATTATAAGAAAGCTTAAAACTATAACAAGAACACTGAAACTGCTCCTGGAAGTAACGTAATTTCAACCTCCAGTTCAAACAAAAGCGACCCAAGTAGCTGTAAGTGACCGGGTGGCTGGCTGAGTGAAGACTTCAGGAGATGCCTCGTGCACCAAGAGACCCAGATCAGTACGAGATTCTGTCGTGCCCTCCTGGCTGGGGAGAGCGTGCTTGTCTGTGCGTGTGCAGTGTAAGGAAGTGCGTGCAGGTTACAGACTGGCCACTGGCCAGTGTTCACAATGACACAAGTAGTCGTTCCTCCCTTCCCGAGCTGTGTTCACAGAAGCTGGGCAGCCTGATACGGCAGTGCCGTTTGGCCTTCCAGCTTGTTTCTCTGGTGGCAGTGTGCATGAAATGCTGCATCAAAGTGTTTTGTGTATTCTTTTGTTTCATTCTGTTGTCTTGGGAGATAAATTACAAGCTACTTTTTCTTTGCCTTGTAGATCAGACACTGTGTGGCTTTTGGGGGTGGGGGGCTTTTGTAAGTCCCCATACTGAAGTGGAATCAGATTTAGAAATACTTTTAGATGGCTGACTGAATGTGTATTACTCGGTTGTTGGAAGTTGCTATGCTTTGTGTAGATGGAAAACAAAGAGAAGTTGCTCTCGCTCCTCTGTTTCACAGAGCCCTGCATTGCTGCGCTCCTAGGTGGGGATGGCGCTTTGGTTCTCTGCCAAGGTTTCAGACTTAATACTGATACTGCAGTGTCGAAGATTGTTGTGATCCGAGCATGGGATTAAGAAATAATTTTCGCATCATGCCTAGGTTACACTGGGACCTTTGCTTTGGTGCAGTTAGGCTGAAATATAATCTGATGATGATAATGGAAATCTGAACTTGTCCATGGATCATTTAGGTGGGAGGTGAGGGAAGAGAGCTGAACTCGGCACAGATGTATAGAACAGAGGACAAAACAGAGGCCCTGATCATCAGGCCAAAAAAAGCTAGAGGATCCTGATTCAACACAGTTTTGGGTTTTTCCTGCTTCTAAATTCTCACAAGGGTTATATCCTTTTTGGAAGCTACTCAGGCTGATGAAGGATAAAGAATATGTTACTGCTATTCCTTGAAACATAAATTCATATCTAAAATATCTCTTGTACAACAAGCCATTCACCACTGCTAACAGCCTCAGATGGAACACAGATTTCTTAAAAAGAGTTCAGGCTTGGCCAGTCCAATGCTTATTAATTAATTCTGGTAGTAGCAATGCTTGCTGTCAACTTTGAGTAAAGAGACAGACTTTTGCCTTTATCCTGTTCTTAGGTCGCTGCATTTTGGGGTACCTTCCATCTGCCACTACGGTGGTTTCTACAGTGTCTTCTGTCTGATGGATGCCTGATTCCGTTCTAAGAGAATCTAATTCTCATGTTCAAATAGCTAAAATCTCCATCCCTTTGGTAACTTGAGGCTGGAAGCCGTTCTTGCTTCAGTGGAACATTTTTAAGAATTAATGTGAATCAGAAATGAGTAGTGTTATGTGCTCAGTTCTGCCCTCTCAGATTATAGAACAGACTTCCAATAGGTCCAATAGTATAGTTGATTTACAGTGTTTCAGGTGTATAGCAAAGTGATTCAGTTATGTATGTATATACATGTATATGGCTATTCTTTTTCCGATTCTTTTTCCATTATAGGTTATTCCAAGATATTGAATATAGTTCCCCGTGCTAGACAGTAGGACTTTGTTGTTTATCTATTTTATATATAGTAGTGCGTCTCATTTTTTAGATTCCACATGTAAGTGATGTCATATATTTGTCTTTCTCTATAGGTCTTGATTGGTAGACACTTTTCTGCATTTGAAATGCAGAGCACATGCCACCAACTCCAGCGAAGCTCAGGTGTTTAGGTCACTCTTCCTCTCCTAGTTAAAAACTGTTAACCAGCTTCCTCATGTGAGGGGTTCTCCCCGAAGTGTAAAACCCTACTAAGGCTTTCCACTGGTCCTTTGCGTAAGTCTCCCAGCATTTCTGGGGTCTGCGTATGCAAATAGAGTTGCTGGAACACTGTCATGACCTGCCCTATATTTCTAAACAAAAAGTGGATAGAGTTACGTTTAATTCATCTTTTTATTCAATCTTTCTAAATCCCTTTACAAACAATGTTTTATTTTTCCCTTTGTTCTTCAAGTCTTATCTCTAAATTTACTATACTTCTAATAAAATTTTCTCTTACAGTGATGGATATTTCATAATGCATTTGAAGTATTGCACATTCTTCAGGTATATATTGGGCAAAGGCTTTTTCTCAGCTGTGGTGATTTTGTTAGGACCCACGCAATCAGGTAGACACAAATTGCTCTGTCTTTTCTTTACCCTAGAAAGAGGCAACAGAGGAAAGAACCTGAGAATCAGAGAAACCAGGTTCAGATCATAGCAGTAGCCTTGACTAAAGTGACCGAGAATCTCTGACCTTCAGTTGCCTCCTCTGTAAATTGGTGATAATAGTACCTATTAGGATTCATCCCTGACATGAAATGCCTGGAACATAGCAGGTGTCCATTTAATGGAAGTGATTATATTTGTACTAGTAGCAAATAGTTGGATGTAACAAGTTAGAGAGCTTTAAAAAGTGCTGTGTAAATAAAAGATAGGAGTGCTTTTCTTCTCTGGAGGACTCTTAATCAGATAAACAAATCTAAATGATAAAGTTATATCTGTTTTTGAAACTTATAAATAAAGATGACATCAAAATTTATGAAACTTAAAAAAATACATGTTATTAATGAGGGTTAGTCACCAAAGTAAAGAAATGCTATGGTTGTTAGTTTATTTTATTTTAAAATATTTCCATCTATTCAGCTTTATCCCCCCAGCAGTTATAAACCCATTAGTAAATTATAAACAGTTCTGAAATATATTTAAAAATAAGTAGAAGCAATAATATGTCTTGGGACTATGGTTTACCAGTTAAATTATTTTATTCCCATGCTCTTAAATTTTTAAAAGTTTCCATTTTGTTATAGTCACTTGTTTTAGTTTTTAGATTCCATATGTAAGTGATATCATACAGTATTTGTCTTTCTCTGTCTATCTTATTTCACTCAGCATAATGCCCTCCAAGTCCATCTATGTTGTTGCAAATGGCCAGTTTTCATTCTTTTTTATGGATGAGTAGTATTCCAGTGTGTGTGTGTGTGTGTGTGTGTGTGTGTGTGTGATGTCACATAAGAAGATTAGTATTTTCTTTTTCTTTTTCTAAATAAATAGCCAGGAGTGGAATTGCTGGGTCATATGG